AGAATCTTGAAAACAGGTGCTCTTATTGACCTCGTTTTACAGATGAAGGCATTGAGGCAAAGGCTGGAGGTCTTTCAGTTAGCAAGTGGCAGCCCTGCGACTGGCATATGAGAAATCTGGCTTTCAGGTTCCTGCTCTGCTTGGTTGTCCTACATGGCACTGTGAGCATAGACCGAAGAAGTACTTGCTGAGTTGGAGATGAACAAAAACTGCAAGAAATTCTGTAGAGAGAAGCATAAATTGCAGTGAAATTAGAGGAGTAACTTTAGCTATTTGATGTTCCTGGTCTCCATTTCCTCCCCACTAAAGTTCATTGTAGTGAGGTTTATGATCAGCTGCACATGCGGGACAAGAATCATTGCATAACAGTGGTGTGAACAAGATAGCCGCTTGCCATTCTCAGACAAAATCATGTCCAGAAGAATTCATACTGCTTCTAGTGTGGGGACTCATCGTTGACCCCTACTCTTCTTATGTGTATATGTAACTTCTAACTACATGTGACCTCAGGGTTCCCTATGTCTGCTATCACATACAAATTGAAGGAAGTAAAACAGAAGGGCATTAAGAGACAGGCCATGGGAAACTGCGCATGCTTCAATTAGCCCTCCCAGAAAGTGCACATGATGCTGTCATTTGTCTTGCACGCCAGTCACATGTCCCCATGCCCGAGAAGAGGCTTGGATGTCTGATTCTGTCAATGCTAAGCTTAAACTCAAGGTTCTGTTACTAAAGGCCTGGAGCATCTTCAGGTCCACGGTTTCCTTTCTCTGTCTGCTGTGGCTCCTTCTGCTCCAGGTACAGTGCTTGGGGGAGGAGGACCGACTCCAGTTCCTCTTCTAGGTATGGCCATGGGTCTCCCACTAGCACACAGTTGTGTCCATAACGGTTGTGCAGTCTCTGTGACCTGCTAGGCCTCTACCCCCTCCACTCCCTAGTTCCTGTCACACTGAGCCCTTGCTGTCCTCCTGACACTTGAGTCTTCTGCTCTTCCTCCTGTCTAGAAGGACAGCTCTCCTCCCCACCTGCCTGAAGGATGTCTCCTTGTGCTGCAGTCCTCCCTGCACCCCTCATTCCCATGGCATCAGGGGGCAGGGTGGTATCCCTTGTCCCTGTGAGGAGTCTGGTCTAGTGTATGTATGCCTCCAAGGGCTTTGAGTACCCCGAAACCAGGCCTGCCTTTGAAGGCCTGTACAAACCTATCGAACTGGGTGTAGCAGGGAGACCATCTGACTGCCATGTGGGAAGTGACTGCTGGTCAGGGAAATTCCTAGAGAAGAGGTCATGGCTGACTTCCCCAGGGACTGAGCAGTGACTCATTTTGGTACCTCCTACAGGTCACAGGGGAACCAAAACCTTCTCACATCTCATCCTGCAGGTGGCTAGCCAAAGGCGTCTAAGCAAGGCACCAAGGGTCTGAGCTAATTATGAGCTGATCTGCCTGCACCCTGGAGAGGGATGCTGAGGCAGGAGAGATTGACACACTAGGGTATGAACCACAATGCTGTGTTCTTTGAATACAGGGAGGGTCAAGATAGATTCTGAGCTACACCCTGCCCTTGCTTCTTCCCTTTGCCTTCTTTGTGGGTCTCATATAGACTAGTGACCTTGACTGAACTTCCAGGTGCTAAAGGCCCCATTTAAAACCCATGTGTTAGTTGACCGACTACATGTTACCCCTGTCAATTTTCTGTCTGGTTGCCTGTCCATCTTCTGTACCCCACACAAGAAGACATCCTTCAAGCAATGGTGTTCTAGATAGGAGGAAGAGTGTGTGCAAAACAAGGAGGCTTCAGCAGCCTCGTGTGTCTGGAGGGAAAGAGAGGGGTCTAAGAGAGAAAGGAGCAGGAGAATATCAATGTGATTTGATGCCCAGTGTGATACAGCCTGTAACACAGCAGTGAACTTGGCACTGTGGTCCCAGCCTTCTGTCCACCAACCACATTCCTCATCCTAAAGATATGCCTCCGTGCTAGATCAGCCACCCATCCCATTCATCTCTTCTGAAAGAGGAGTCCCAATTGCATCTCATAAAGTCTCCCCTTTTACAAGGTGTACTGTTCCTTTGAGTTATTTCTCCTCAGATGAGATGATTTGCTTTAACTTACAAGGATTTTATCAAACATGTGGTTACCTCCTGAAGAGAGCAACATGCAAATGGTTTTTTAGTCTGTGCGTATCTCTCTGTAGCAATTCTAGCTTTATCATGAGATATTTCTAGAAATTACATTTGACAGTGATTTCTCTTCTCCATAGTAATTGCATAAACTAAGTAAAATTCCTATTGGTTTTTAACCAAAGAACAGGCAATGCATATTTAGCCTAAATTGCTAAAAGAAATCTTCAACAAAAATCACTTCCGTAACAAGCTTGAATTGAAACATCTTCCTCCAAGCCCTGCGATATGGATGTTTCACCTATAGTAATCTTAAAATCTACAATTGTCAAGTTGCATTTATTTTATCCAAATGTATGGATTAAATACAAAGAACACTTAAATGATAATTTTAGACACTATTAGTGTGTCTTTATAAGGAGTTATCCAAGGCTGTCTGAACTGATGCTTTTATCTTTCCCACTTCGCAAACTCCCTGCACTGGAATAATTGTGTTGGTAGGGAAGGACCAGGAAGATTCTGAGAGCCAGCGTTTAAGCCAAGACAGGAAGGATAGCTTGCCTGAAATGACAGAGCTACTATGCCTTAATTTTCTTTCTTTTTTTTTTTTTAAAGATTTATTTTTATTATTTTTTTTTTATTGGAAAGGCGGATATACAGAGAGGAGAGAGAGAGAGGAAGGTCTTCCGTCCCATGATTCACTCCCCAAGTGAGCGCAACTGCCAATGCTATGCTGATCCGAAGCCAGGAGCCTCTTCCGGGTCTCCCACGCGGGTGCAGGGTCCCAAAGCTTTGGGCCGTCCTCGACTGCTTTCCCGGGCCACAGGCAGGGAGCTGGAAGGGAAGCGGGGCTGCCGGGATAGAACCGGCGCCCATATGGGATCCCGGGCGTGCAAGGCGAGGACCTTAACCACTGTGCCACCGCGCCGGGCCCTAATTTTCTTTCTTAAATGGCAAGGACTCAGCCATTCGAAACGTACAGCAAGGAAGTTGCACAACTGGCCTATGTTTAGGAAAACAGTGGGTGACAAGAAGATAAAAAGCTAAATAAGGCCCATTTGTGGTTTCATGGGTTAGTTTGTAACTCAGGCATTCCATATGAGTGCTGGTTCAAATCCTGGCTACTCCACTGCTGATCCAGTTCCTTTCTTTCTCTTTCTTTTTCAGATTTATTTATTTTTATTGCAAAGTCAGACATACAGAGAGGAGAGACAGAGGGGAAGATCTTCTGTCTGCTGATTGACTTCCCAGGTGGCTGTTAAAGTTGGAACTGAGCTGATCTGAAACCAGAAGCCAGTAGCTTCTTCTGGGTCTCTGATGTGGGTGCAGGGTCCCAATATTTTGGGCCATCCTTGACTGGTTTCCCAGGCCATAAGCAGAGAGCCAGATGGGAAGCGGAGCTGCCGGGACACGAACTAGCGCCCATATATATGGGCTCCTAGCACGTGTAAGCCGAGGACTTTAACTACTAGGCTACCGTGTTGGGCCCAATTCGGCTCCTTTCAAATGAGCCTCGAAAGCAGTAGAACATGACCCAAGAGCTTGGGTCCCTGCCATTCACATGGGAGAACTGGATGGAGTTCCAGGCTCTTGGCTTGAGCCTGCCCAGGCGTGGCTGTGTGGCCATAGGAGGAATGAACCAGTGGGTGGAGGCTGTCTCTCTCAGTATCTATCTACAACTCTGTCTTTAAAATTTCTAAATAAATGCACTTAAAATGCAGAAGGGACTATATTGTTAGGAAATGAGTGTTTCATGAAGGCTAATTAAGCATAGCTTTTTTAACACATGGGAACGACGCGATGGTGCATCAAGTTAGGGTTTACACTATTTTAGGCCAACTTTAAGACCTCTCTCTGATCTCTGGTTTGTAATTCTATGAATACAATAAAACTTTCTGTCTGTAGTGTTGTTATCCAAGCTGGCCCAGTTATGTCAGGTCGTTAGGTGAGGGTATTTCAGAAAGTTTGTGGGCAAAATGGAATTAAAGGGGTTTTATTGTGCGGAAATTGTGAAACCCCTGCATACCAGAAGTCTTCAAAAGTTATGAAACAACCAGGCATTGGTTTTAATGGTTTTTTTTTTTTATTGTTGTTAACATTGTATTATGTGATACAGTTTTATAGGCACTGGGGATTCCCCCCACCCCTCCTATACCCCTCCCCCCATGGTGGATTCCTCCACCTTGATGCATAACCACAGTTCAAGTTCAGGGTTTTAATGGTTTTTTAAACATTTCTGCACCAAAGGAAGCTTGTGTTTTAATTCCATTTCTTTGTACATGTTCACACTTATCACCTTGGGAAATAGTACCATATCTCATCCAGAGAGGCTTAGGGCAGACAGATGTCTGCAGTGTGGTCATTGGCCTGTAAAATAACTGGAGTATAGTGGCCAGCGCCAAGGCATAGTAGGCCAAACCTCCTCTGGTTAGCACTGGCATCTGATATGGGCACTGATTTGTGGCTCCACTTCCAATCCAGCTCCCAGAGGATGGCCCAAGCTCTTAGGACCCTGCACCACTGTGAATGACACGGAAGAAACTCTTGGCGTTTGGATCGGCTCATTTCAGCCCACTGTGGCCATCTGGGGAGTGAACCAGTAGATCAAAGATTTCCCTCTCCCTGTCTCTCCTTATGTCTCTATAGTTTTATCTTTCAAATAAAAATAAAACAAATCTTTAAAAATATACGTGACTACAACTGACACATTACAGTTGTGACCTAGTGGTGGAATCTTTGACAATCTTCACTCTGGTTATAATGTGGTGAATTCTCATCAAATCTAAAGCCAATCATGTTATTTTGAAAATGAACAATAGATTTTTGTCTTAATACCTCTTCCCTCCAATTTGCAGTAATTTTGCATGATGGTAGCCGAGTGAGTGTGAAGGCGCTTTCTGGAATCAGAGCCCATCTTCAGCCCACAATGGCAGTAGTGCAGACCAGAGCACTGCCTTCTCTCCTGCAACAAACTCACCCCATGCCCAACAGTGCTTTGCCAACGAGTTCAACGGATGAACCTGTCACCTCTGCTGTAACTGCCATGACCAACAACCCCGAAAACTCAACCACACACATGCTAAAAACCTCAACTACCCTGGGAATGACCAACAGTACCCCATCCACCATCCCAGTTACGACCCACACCCTAGTCACAACTCAGGCCACAACCAACAATTCACACCCAGCTGCTCCAGTCACAGAAGCTACAATCGGCCCCAGCTTAGCTACTCATGCCCAGCCACCCACTACCACCCCTTGTGGCAATACAACTGGAAGGGATCCATCAACTGTTAGCCGCACAACTGGGAAAACCACCCAACACAGGAAGCAGACCACCATCCTGACAACTCTGGCCACAGAGCCACATGGAAACACAACCAGTCAGATGTCTGTCCAAACCTCCCACACGCCAGGAACAGCATCACACAATGCTACCCAGACCATTTCCCCTGCCTCTATCCTTACTGGACCCACCCTTGCGCCCCGGCCTACGTCAGCCAAGACTGGAACTTATCAAGTTCTAAATGGGAGCAAGCTCTGTATAAAAGCAGAGATGGGGTTACAGCTGGTTGTTCAAGACAAAGAGGCGGTAAGTTGGGGCTGGAGGACTGTAACGGCAGCTTCTAAATGCCAAGATAGAATTTACCTTGCTAGAAATGTCTTTAAATGAAGTAAATTACTATGAGTTAATCTTTCTACAAGATGCTTCATTGAAAGGTGGATATGGGTGGAGACTGTGGTGCAGGGGTTCATACCCGTGTGGGATGCCTGCATCCCCTACCTGCATGTCTGAGTTTGAGTCTCAGTTCCACTCCCAATTCCAGCTTTCTGTTCATGTGCATTCTGGGGGTGGGGTGAGAAAGGATGGATGGTTCCAGGAGTTGGGTCCATGCCCTCTATGTGGGAGATGTGGATTGAATCCCTGATTCCTGCTTCTGGTCTAGTCCAGCCATGACTGTTGTGGGAGTTTGGGGAATGAATCAGTGGAGGGAAGATCTCAGTTTTTCTGATATTCAAACAAAGCAAAAACTATTTAGAATACATGTGTAGTCATAGTAGTGCCTGGACATGAGAAGGTACACAAGAAAAGCCTAAATATGCACTCTTTCCTTCCAGACATCATGGGCAGAGTGTTGAGGTGTGTTCAGTGTGGCTAGCCTGGTCCACCATTCTTCATAATTTCCAAGCCCAAGCTCCTTCTCTGTGAAAGGAAGATGGGTTATTGTAGTTCTAGGCAGCTAAGACATTCATATGGAAGTCCAGATTAAAAAGTAGATAAATGAAGAAGGGCTATGATTGAATTACTAAAAGGATTCATCCTAAAACAATCCTTCCCTTTTTTGCACATTATTTTTATAGTTTCATAAAACACATCCAGATTTTGATTTGAGACAGAGGCATTTTAGAGAGCAAATACCCCTTACACCCTCACTCCCCACTCCAGTACCTTTCAACAGGTTTAACTTAAGGAAAGTCCAGTTCCATGCAGCTTATCAGGAATAGACCTGCTGTGAAGTATCAGACAACTCCTCTTGGCACTTACAAAGCCTCTTTAAGAAAGCTTTGGATGGTGACTGTTTGGGCTGATAGGATGCCATCTTTCTGGGGGACTTTGCAGTTCTCAAGGGAGCACTTGCTCAGCTTGGCTTTGGATTCACTGTATCTCCAGTTCCTTCCAGGGTCATCTCTACTTCATGTTGCTCATCTGTCTTCTTTCTTTCAGGTCTTCTCACCTCAGAGATACTTCAACATCGACCCCAACACAACCCAAGTTTCTGGGAACTGTGGCTGCCGAAAATCCAACCTCTTTTTACATTTCCAGGGTGGACTTGTGAATTTCACATTTACCAAGGTGGGGCCAGAGTTCCGTGGCACTTACCAACCCTTGTGTGGCTTCCCCTCTCCTGGTGCCCTGGGGCCCATTGGTGCAATCTCACACTTTAGTGTAAGGCTCAGCAGAATCAGATTTCAGAGCCTTTTGAGATCCTTGCTGATAAGAGTGAAAGGTGCGGGGTGGAGTGTCCACATCTCTTGTTTGCCTTCTTCTCCCTTCAGCTTCCTCTATGCGACAGAAGGAGGTTTTCAGAACCTCTTAGCAGAGACTTGGTCTCAGGCCACATTTGTACTTAACTGAAGGAGGAAGTTGTATAGATGAACTGATCTCTAGAAATTCCCAGTGAACACCAGAGGAACAAGATCATTTTAAGAGCAAAATCAAATGTCAGAATGGGTTTTTTCCAACCTCAGTGGGCAAAAGTCAGGGATTAACCAGGTGCTAGATTTTCTGGGCCATCTTCTGCAAGTGTATAGACAGCAAAGGGGAGTGGACTGAATATAGGCCTTGAAATCAGAGTCCATCACAAATCTGACTCTGTCATTTGCTCTCCTTGTGACAACAGATGGGCAAGTTAACCTGGCAGAGCTGACTTTTGTTATTTGAAAGGGAGTGGAAGAAGAATTGGTAATCACCTTCATAAGGGACAAACCCATACAGATAGTAGCTGTAATTGCAGTGAGTGAGATTAGCAAGTGCACTGGAATCCAGATGAAGCTGGTGATCTCACTCTATGGGGCACCTGTCCCTGGTTGCCCCACAGTGTCTTTCAAGCAGGCCAAGCATGAATCAAAGAGGAGACACAGAAGGACTCTACACCTGGGACCTGGTCTCAGGCTAGTTGAGGATCATGTTCTCATCTTTAAAATGGGAACACTCACACCTACCTATTAGGACCCCATGGAAGATTAGAAACAGACTGTGTAAACTGTCTAGCACAGTGTGTGGTACTTAGTAACCATCAATGGCCATAATTACAAATTTAGTTTAAAACTGGCCTTTATTTGTGATGCTGGAATCAAGCAATATGTCATTTTATAAAATAGAATGAGCCATATGGGGAACTGAGCAGAGGAGGTTGGGTGTATCTAGAGAAAAGGCTAAGGAAGGCAGAAACAATGGGAAGATTGGTTATGCCAATGTTACTTTTCTTTGTAGTGGCTGCAGCAAGGGGACTTCCTTTATTATGCCAATTAATAGGGGCTTGTTTAGGGATTTGGGTGTTTCTCTGTTTCAACTTGGTGGTCTGGAACTCCAGCATTAGTGGCTTTATTTTGGCGTGGTCTGTTGGACCTAGTGCAGGATACTAGTCCAGGTGAATGGTCTTCATACATCTTGTTTCACACCATGCTCAAGGAAGAGTGTGGCTAAGATTATTGTTGTACCTAACTTGGTCCCACGCGCTTTATCTTCCTGATACATCCTTTTCTCCAAGAAGTAGAGATGAACTTGAGCAGTCAGCAGTTTTCTTTGACTGGCAAATGGGAAAACAATAGTATCAGAAGAGGCAGAATAAATGCTGTCTCCTTGAATACTTGAAGCTAAACTATACAGGTGTAAGGAATTTCTTAAAAAGCCGCCTTGACAAACTGGCAGGACAGACATCCATAAACATTTGTTCAGGGCCCAGTTCCACCTGTGTCACTGCCCAGACCACTGTGTGAGTAATGGCCCAAGGGAAGGCAGCAGAAACCCCCAGCGATGGCCATCAGGGTCAGGCCTCAGGTGGAACTGCAAGCAGGTGTTTCCTTGCTGCCCTTCCCACCTCTGTTTTTGTCACTTCTCCCTGTTTCCTTTCACTACGGGTTGTCCTTTCAGACGCCTGCAGACTGGCTTTGATTTGATCAAACCACACTTAAATGTTGAGATTTCCCCCTTTTTAATAATCTTGCTTGCCCTTTAATTACTTCCCCCTTCTAAAATATCGGCAGGAACTGAGTGTCCTGGTAGAGCTAGAAGCATTGGCAGGTCCTCCCTTCCTCACTCCTCCCAGCTGCCTTCCTGAAGGGGCACAGTGAGCCATCCTCAGTGCATGGCTTCAAGAGCGGCAATTACTTCTTTCCCTGAACCATCCCGGCCCATCTGCCTTATTTCTGCTGTTCTCCGACACTACTCCACAGTTACAGACCTTACACGGAGAGAGTAGCCTTTGTACTCCCGTGGCATTGCTGCATGGTAAGAAGGAATTTGTTTAAGCCAAAAACAGGAGGCCAAAGACTGCAGGATTAAAGCAAGAGATTACCCATGTAACTTAATGAATGAAGCAGGCTAGCAAAAAAAATTTTTTTTTCCTTGAAACAACAGTCCCTAAAATTTTACGTTCTCACTTTTGATGGAGAGTGCCATAAAAACCAAAGACATTTTCATTGTCCCATTCAATCTGATAGGAGAATGAAAGGATAAGTGGACAGCTGGCAATACCAGCTTGGGTAGGCTCATGGGAGGGGAGGGAGTATCCATTCCCCAGAAGAGAGCCACTGCTCCTCTGTTTTACCTGTGGTCAGTGGCAGGCCTGGTGTCCAGCCATCGGGCTCAGTGCTGTGCTCCATGGCTGTGTTCATATGAGATGGTCAGGTGTCCGTTCTGGGTGGGCTCCCAGCATGCACAAGGCGAGGACTTTTGCCTCTAGCCTACTGCACCAGGCCCACTACTACTTTTTAAACACACTACTCAAAAGCAGGAGTATTAATGCTGGAGTGAGGTGAATGTCATGGGAGAGGGCTGTTTGTCATGAAGAATGGTTAGCAGTGTCCCTGCCTCCAAGGTACTATTTGCGAGTAGCAATCACCCACTTGCTTCATCACCTCATGTGACAGCTCTAGATGCTGCCAGATGTCCTTCCTGCTTGAGAACCACTAGTTTAGGGGGAAAAAAAACCTTAGAAAATGTGGGTTATGTTCATTATAATGTTATGAATGTTACCAATGAGAACCACATTGTAGAATAAGGGAGTGTAAGGCCTAATTTGGTTGGAGACTTTGTTGTAGTGAGGCGAGAACATCATGTCTCCTGAACCTTGATACTTTTGTAACCAGGACAGACTCCTGTTACTAAAGGCAGGTGAACAAGAGAATTACAAGCAGGTTTTGAGGCACATGGGAGAAACCAGTGCTTAGAATACCACTGAATACAGCACATTCAGCAACAAACGCTACGTTCTAATGAGCTGACCAAGGAGCACAGCTTGTTTCCAGAGTCAGGAACTATAGGAAGGCAAATGGATGGGGAAAAGAAGAAACCTTAGGGCCAGATAGTGACGTGTGTTATGTTGATTCCTCTAGTACTGTCCTCACCTGGTGAGGTCTATGGTTGTCTCCAGGAATTAACTTAGTCCTTCCCAACAGAGACAGTAGGAAGGCATATTTAATTTATTTTCTAAGAATGTCCTATATCACCATAACATTATAGAATACATGGTAGGCACAACTTGCCTAGATAAGACTCATTTGATGTTAGCAGCATTAATGAGATAAAATTTGGAATCTTGAGGAAACTAAACGGACTCCTGTCAGTTTTTTTGGTATGAATTCACCTGACAGATATTTTTCCCGTACCCTAAAGGTAGACTCAGCTCAGTTCCAGCCAACATTTGGTTAACTTGACTCAGCCAGAATGAAAGAAAAGCTGAGTGCAGCTTGCAGAATGTGTCCTCTTAGCTCATGAAGGTAAACCTGGCCATGCATGCAACTTGTCTGCTGGTGGCTGGATTAACCAGAAAGGGATAAATTCTTGTGGACCTTGAAATGCCCCTTCCTATTTAGCTTCATAGGTGTGCAACCTGTCGCTTTGGAAGGCTCTGTGCTTCTTTGAATGCTTTACTGTAGCCTTTTGCAATTTTACATAACTTTTGAACCAAGCATTTTGCATTTTCACTTTCTCCGGGGCCCCATAAATTCATCAGATGGCCAGTCCTGCTTCCTATAGAGGGCTGTAAGTTCCAACTGTATTTCAGGGAATGTCAGAGAAAGTTCTCACATGACAAATTTTTGGTCTATACACACATACCTCATGTCCCTTGGAGGAAACTTTGGACTGGATCCTGAAAGCAGGATCTTGCTGTATCGCTTGCAAGCTATGTAAATCTGAGATGGATACTGAATCTTCTGGGCTTCTGTTTTCTCAGCTGTAGAACTGACTGATTCTTTTTGTTCTGTCTTCAGGCTTGCTATGGTGGTCAGTGAGGCAATGCAGCTGAATGCATGCACCTGGCAAACTGTGCCATCTTTACAAAAATCCAAACATACCTTTCCTGGGGGAGACAGGCCTGGGAGATGGCCAGCAAGGAAAAATTCCACGAGGCGTCCTGGGAGGGCAGTGCTGCCTCATTGTTCATTCTCTTCTGCTGCTGTCTAAATCATTCTCACAGCACAGCTCAACCAATCTCCAATAACAAAGGCCGGCTCATGTCCCTGTCCTGTTCAAGTTCCTTCAATGAATCCTCTTTTCCCTTTGGATGGGGAAAGAGCTTTGTAACTATGGGCCCCAGAGTGCAGGTCTTGCTTAAGTTAAAAAATGTCACAAGTGAAGAATAATCTGAATAAATGGTCAGGGAAAGCAAAAAAAAGAGTCATTTTGCAGATGTTCGGAATGTTCAGATGTTGGACCGCAGATAGTTCAAGCCCAATATTCAACCACCTTTCATACATCAGACTGGGCACCTCAAGGGAAACAGCCAGGTCTCCTCCAAAAAGTCCCTGGAAAAAACACAGGAAAGCCAAGCCTATATTTCAAAGTGATTTGCATAAAAATAAGCTAGTCATTTAATTTCATTTTCCAGACTTAAAAAAAAAGGTTTAGCTATTTATTTAGTTTGAAAGTAACAGTGACACACAGATAGAGGAAGAGAGAGAGAGAGAAACATTGACCTTTAAATTACTGGTTACTCCCCAAACAGCTACAATGCCTGGGCCTGGACCAGGCTGAAACCAGGAGCCTGAACTGCATCCAGATCTCCGATGTGGGTATTAGGGGCCCAAGTACTTGGATTATCATAGGATGTTTTTCCTAGGTGAGTTAGCAGAGAACTAGATCAGAAATAGAACAAGCCAGAACATGAACCAGAACTTCAATTGTAAGGTGCTGCCCTCACAATCTGTGTATTAGCCCACAACACCAGCTTCCCCATGAACTTTATGAAACCCCTTTCAGACAACAATGTCTGGCATAGATTCAATATGAGAGAGGTTAAAACCAGACTTGAGGGCAGGCATTTGGGGCTAGTGGTTAAGATGCTGCTTGCAAAGCCTGTTTCCTAAATTAGAATGTTTCAAGTCTTGGCTCTGCTTTGAATCCAACTTCCTGCTAATGTGCACCCTTGGAAGGCAGTAGATAATGACTCAAATACTTCTGTCCCTGTCACCTACTGGGAGACCTGGATTGAGTTTTGTGCTTCTGGCTTTGGCCTGGTCCTGGTCCTGGTTATCATGGACAACTGGGGACGTGAACCAATTGGTGGAAGATCTCTGTTTGTCTGCCATTCAAAAAAAAAAAAAAAGAAAGAGAGAGAGAGAGAGAATAAATTAATAAAAAAAAGCAAGATGAGGATATAGACAGGTTTAAGATAATATCTTCCTCTGTGTCCTTTGATATTTGTGACCTTGGGCAAGTTGTTGAGCTTCCGTTTCTTCTCATAGTTATTGTGAGGATTAAATCAGACAATGTATAGAAGTACCTGTAAAACATTAGTGAAATCTACATATCATTATTTCACAACATGAGTTCTTCATGAATGTTCTGAAGACCCTCATGTACATGGATTTCAATAATATTTTGCAACACAATAAACCTGTCTTTTAACCCAAAGACTGACACACTGTGTTTTGCAGGGTGAAAAATCATATTATATCAGTGAAGTGGGAGCCTTTTTGACCGTCTCAAATCCAGGTTAGTACTACCTTGAAGAATCTACTGCCTTGACAGGGTGGATCTGTCACAAGACCAGGTGGATCTGTGAGCAGGTCCTTTCCCTGACCGACAGCACTCAGAAGGAAAGAGAAGGGCCTTTCCCTTCTCACTTTCCACAGCTGGGTTCTCCTTTCTGCTGTATTAATACATTCAGTCTGGTTATATGCAAATACTTCACTGCTGACTTTGCCGTCTGCTCTGATTCACCCAAAGGACATGCGATGGGAAGTCAGATAGAACTCTCTCTTCTCTCGTTCCTGAAGTTTTCTGTGGGCACATCTCTGTAGCCCCCAGGCATTGATAGTGGTTCTTACCAACTCTGTCCCTAGTGATTTAAAATACCTGAAGAGGTCTGGGTGTTTGGCCTGGTGCTTAAGACCCAGCTGAGCTGCTAGCATCCTGCATTGGAATACGTGGGTTCCATTTCTGCTCCCAGCTCTTGATTCCAGCTTCCTGCCAAGGCAGTGGTCATGGCTCAAGTGACTGGATTTCTGCCACCCATATGGGAGACATAGGTTAGTTCCTTGTTCCTGGTTCTGGCCCTAGAGTAGCCCCTGGCCATTGTGGGCCTTGGAGGTGTGCATAGGAGTACATATAGACTCCCTCTCTCTCCCCCCATGTTGTTTTTCCTCATCCCTATGTCTGTCTCTCTGAGTCTCTCAAACAAAAATAAACTAAAATACAAAACAAGTGGAGTTGGGAGTTGTGGTATAACAGATTAAGCCATCACTTGTAGTGACAGCAACCCGTATGTGAAGGATGGTTCAAGTCCCAGCTGCTTTGCTTCCCATCCAGTTTTCTTCTAATGCACCTGGGAAGGTGGTGGAGGGTGAATCTGGTGCTTGCCACCTGACACCCATGTGGGAGACTTGGATGGAGTTCGTGGCTCCTAGCTTTAGCCTGGACCAGCCCTGGCTGTTGCAGCCATTTGGATTAAAAAAGAAAAATTCTCTCTGTCTCTCTCTCTCTGCTTTTCAAATAAATACACATGCATACATACACATGCACATGTAGGAAACATCCTGCAGAGTTCTCATTCCAATGTCTTCCTGTCTCAGTTTCTCTGAGATGGCTCTCATAGACCCCGCCCCGCCGAACACTACCAGGAAGTCTCTGACAGCATCTGGTTGTTTCCCCGTGGAGACACCGCTGCAGCCTCACCTGCAGTGGTGGGAGCATGACGGAGGGATGCGTGGATTCTCATGCACCTGTACATCATTCTTTGTTCCCAGAGAAAACTTACAAAGGGATGGAGAAAGCCGTGATAGTGTTTGAGACGCTGGTCGGGCATTCCTTCAAGTGTGTGAGTGAGCAGAGCCTGCAGCTGTCACCTCTGCTTCAGCTGAAAACCACTAATGTCCAACTGCAGGCTTTTGATTTTGAAGGAGACCACTTTGGAAATGGTGAGTTGAGGGTGCAGAAGTAAACATCAGGGACTCGGGGGGTGGGGTAGCTACAAGCTCTGTTCTTCCCAATACTAAATGTTGCACACTGTTCTTAGGGCCAAGTTTCTTCTTTCCCACTCCCAAACCAGGCACCTGCATCCATGCCTGCCCACAGCTCCCTAGCTTGTTTGTAGCGGGGTGCATCTCCTCCAACCCGCACACACTTTCTCCCCCACCCCTGCCTTGGAAAAGCCTAGAGCACTCTCCCCAGGCTCCCCCTCACACTCTCCTGGATCCTGGCAAAGTCAACTGTGTTTGGAGAACAAAGACCCTGAGCATTCATGGTGTCAGAGTAGATCCTTCCCCACCAGCCGAGGGAACAGGGCAAGATGTGGACAGAGAGGACTGCTGTTTGGCATAGGAGCCGTTTGTACTCACAGTGCTTCTGAGTCAGATCTCATCTCCATCTGCCCCTGCTTGGAATTTTAACCAGCACATTCAAAATGAAACTGGTCCTTGGAGGAGGGCCAGAGTGACTTTCCAGAAAAGCCCTTCTTTTCTCCCTGCCGGGAAGGTCAGTATTATCCTGATTTTGCCATGTGACTGGGTTCATCAATTCATGAACTTCAATTTCCCCTGACTCCCTCTTGTCAAAACCCAAACAAGAGTTTTTCTCAACTATTAGAACCCGATTCAGTGAGAAGTGCCATTGACTATGAAATCGTTGACTTCGAGTCCCATGATGAAATGAGAGGTACGTCTAGCAGAAAGCATCTCCTGATGGACTCAGCACTAAATATTTTACAAAGGAAGGAGCCAGACACATCACACCAATGTCTGAGTCTTCATCCTAGTGCTGAGATTAAAGAATAAAGCTGCCCAGCAGGCATCGCCCCCCCCCCCATGCTATCTTTGATCTCAAGGCTTGTCATATTGGAAAGTGATCACTTTTAGAATTCACTGGAAAGGTCTAAAAAAAAAATCCCTGGAATTACTGATGCGGTCTCGCCACCCTCAGGGGTGCACCTGCTCTTGTTGCCTATCAGGACCTCTGAGAAGCAGGAGGCGAATGGATGCAGGAGCTCAGCACACACTCTGGCTTGCCCTGAGCAGTGCTCACCGGGAGACAGGCAAGCTCATCTGATGTGTCTACACATCAGCCATCCTTCAGGGCACAGCGCCCCAAGCCTCAGAGCTACCCCAGAATCCTCTCCTTCCCTCATCCTCTCTCAGATCTGCCCTATATATTCCCTCCCAGAGAGTTCTCTTGTTCACCCCACATTCACCATATCTGGCACTTCAGACTTTGCTGAAGTCGCTGAAATGTGAAGATGGTTGTCATTCCATAAGTAGCAGAGGAGAAGGAAGGAGACAAGGAACAAGTTCACCTGTGATATGCTGTTGAAAAAGCTCCGCATGCTTAGGGCTGTGAGAACCCAGGGGGAAAGCGTGGTCAACGCTGTGTTGCTGGTGAGATGGTGGTGCAGGGAGTTCTGACACTTCAACCAGGGCTTGAGAAAGGAATGAGCTCAGCCCTGTCAGAGAGACAGGTGCAGATGATGGACGTCACTCTGTCTCGCTCCAGGCCTGCAGCCTGCCAGAGGGCTTTCTGTTGTCTCGCTTTCCTTTACTGTTCTGACAGCCCTTAGGAAAGCCCAGGGTTTGGATGGAATGTTCTGGCTCTGTGACTCGGTCCAGGGCTGTGTCTCTCGAATGGGACGAGCACAAATCAGAACCTCACTGTGATCATGACTTCGGAGATCACACCAGTGTTTCTCAGAGTTGGACTTCCTTTCTAGCAGTGGGCTGAATACACCCCCCTGCCCAGGGTGGAGTGTGTGAGGGAAGAGGTGCAGGGAGGGCTCGGACCCACTGAGTTCTGATGGCTTGGACGATGGGTTTGAGTAACTTCCTGCAGGAATCACCAGTTCCCCACATTTCAGACCCACTGGGGAGATCCTTCCACCCGACTGATGGAATGATCAGTGGTACCCAGCTGCCTCTTCTGTCCACACTTCTTTCTGTACACACCTGCAGCATTAGTGGCTAGCCTGTAACACCTGTTACTCTGCCTTCAATTACAGTGGATGAATGCTTCAGTGACAGAAGCAAGAAAGAAATCCCTGTGGCTGTCGGCCTGAGTATCACAGCACTACTGGTTGTTTGGCTCACCTCCTGCCTGGTGGCCAGAAAGAGGCCCCGTAGAGGGTATGAACGCATGTAGAGCCCTGCCTTCCAAGCGAGCAAGGTGGAGGCCTTCCTTGGGGGAATCTGCCTTCATGTCCAGCCTGAAAGGAAAGGGTTGTCCTTCCACCTTCCCAAGCCAATTGCGAGACCCAGCTTTCTGCACCACACCCCTATTTCTCCCTCTGGCTCAGGGAAACCACACCAGCTGACTTGAATACCATATTCCCTACCTGAATAAAGGGGGCTGGCTTTTGGAATTTGGGAAAGAGGGGCAGAGACATGAGTGACTGTAAGGAGAAAGCAAAATCATAAAGGGAAATTATTACAGAAGACATTTTCAAACTGCACTGAATTTTCTTATATGTTTTTAAGAGTGTTCTATTTTTTAAATTTTTTTTTTAAAAAAAGCAATTCTTTTCAAAATAGATTAAAGGTGAGCTTAAACTACTGGGTTTACTCGAACTTTGATTTACTTATTATAGATGTTCTTTGTAAAACAAGCTTTTTTTTTGTAATAAAGGTTTTGTTTTAACCATTACAATTTAGTATTAGTAAAAACAAAAGCAAGCAAGCAAGCAAGCAGAAAACCCTGACAACTTAGAAAGCTGCCTAAATTTTGCTTCTAAAAGTAAAACACATAGCAAAATCTTGGGGAAAAAAAACCTAAAAAAAAAAAATGAATACAATAAATGCTAGGTCTCTAGTCCTGCCGCTTGATTTGTGGTCTTCCTTCTTAACGTTGCTTCCTGATTTGCCTTTTTGTTTCATGCTCTCCCAGCCTTGTAGATGGGTTAATTTGGGTCATTGCAGGAGGGAAGTAGGCAGAACATTCTGAGAGGGCAAGTGGGAGGTGGCAGATCTGTCCAGGTGGCGGGGATGAGTGCAGTGCACTTGGCTTTTTAGCAAAGTGTCACACAGAAACATTCCAAGCCAGAAAGCTCCTGATTGGAAGTGATTGAAAACTAGAGGGGAAAAAATCTATTAAAATAAGTTTAAGATATCATTCCACATTTTCCATTACACTAAATGGCTTAAGTATGAGGTTTTGTTTTGTTTTTTTCTTTTCTTTTTTTTGAGAAAGGGGAAAGTACTGGATTTCTGGAAGTTCTTAGCTATTTTATGATCAGGAAGTTTTCTGATTTTTTTTTTCTACATTTTTCAGAGGTGCCATTCATTATTTTTAACAGGAAGCTTATGAAATTTGGCACCAACTCTGTAACTATTGCTTATCTAGGAAGAGTACTGGCTCACTCCAAGATATTTTAATTCTTTCCACTTTTAGAAGTGAGGAGACTGGGAAGACAAGCGATACCCTCAGGAGAGCGTTAAGAGTCCCCTCGAGACATCTCCAGTGCCAGGAAATGCCCAGCTCAGAGCAGGAGATGTTGACGGGAACCTAAGGTGTAAGGGAGGGACTCAAGGGCGAGGGCCTGGCTGTGAAGCTGCAGGCATTTGCTCCACACCCCCACATACTCAAGATGAAGGGTATTATTTAAACATACATAAATGCAATAGTCAGATATCTGCGCCTAGGAAATAATTCCAAGATTGCAGTACTAGGAATCCTTTCATAAAGATGTTGTTTAGCAGTGCAGCTCAGTGAAACAGGATGTGGGTCTTAATAGCAACAAGGGAAAAAAAAAAAAGAAACGACTTTCAGGAATAGAAAAACCCAGTTTATATATATAGAGCTGTTGCTACTGAATATTTTATTCATGTAATAAAAGCCCCACTAAAACAGGGGAGGGTGTTTAGTCTAGCAGTTCAGACGTGGGTTGAGAAGCCTCTATCGCACGTCAGAGCACTTGGGTGGTGACACAGTGGTGCCGGTGTGAGTACCTGAGTTTTTGTCATCCTTATGGGATGCCTGGCCCAGTGCTGACCACGGGGGAGCGAACCAACGTAGGGGAGCACTCTCTTTATCTCCCCCCCTCTCTGCATCTCTGTCTTTCAAATAAATAAATGAATGCTTATTTTTTTTTAAGGCATTAGCCTTGTGGGAATATAAATCTACCTTCTTATAGATGAAATGATATTAGTACACATTTACTCATTGCAGGCGCACTATTTGTAATAGCAAAGAAAAAAAAATGATTGAAAACAAACCACAGGTCCAGGACAGATTAAAAAACCTATCCCTTATCCCACATTGGATTACTATACAACTGTTAAAAGATTGAGGATGTTAGTGTATAATGAAAGACGCACAAAAACCTTGTTAAATAAATAAAAAAGCAGAGTGCATAATAGTGAACAAAGGAGGAAATAAACTATACCTTTGTTTTTATTTCTATCTGCCTACAGCATCAGCAGAAATATATATTTGTGTGTCCGTATATAGATAAATGGAACTAAAAAATGCAATTAGCTAACTGGGACAAGGGTACTAAAATGATGGAAAGGGGCAAAGTGGGACATCTCAGGGGGCAGCATCTTGTATTTGACTTTTAAAATCATGAATGTGTTCTATATTCCAGATATATTTTTAAGTACTGTAGGAATAGCACTTACCAAATAGGATGAGAAATATGGGCATTGTTAAAGTCAGTAATACAAACATTCAGAATTTGGAGTTGGGGAAAGGGGAAACGGGAGAGAAGTGGTTAGTGCTAATTTCTGGAAACTCTCTCAGTAGGAAATGTTTAAATAAGAAGCAGTGTTAGAAAACATGTGACCCCAATTTATTTCATCACCTCGTCATAATTACGAAATGTGTGTTTCATCATCTCTTTTTTGAGCCTTGAAGGGTTCTTTTATAGAACAATATTTCCTGTGACAAGGAAATTTTAAGGTGCAATAATGCCTCAAGTTCACTTCATGTTTTCCACCTGTTAAATTCAAATGAAAGCAAAATCAGCAATGTAAATTAAGTCTCACATGTCTGATCCTGTGTAAATATAAGTACTGGTATTTCTCACAAATCTATAGTTCCAAAGAAACAGGTGAAATGTTTGTGTTGACAATGATAATTTCTCTGCATGTTTTTTGGGGTTATGGGTTCTTACTTTTCTAATAGCAAATTTCTGGACTGCTTTAGTGATTTATAGTGAGCATAGACTGTTTATAAAAAAATTGAATGGTCTTAACTATGCCCCCACTCATGAGTACACGAGGACACACACAGATCCCACTCACAGAGAAGGCAAGTTTTGAAAACGTTTATGACTAACTGAAATAGAAGTGCAGGGACTGGGTAACAACTTTGCTTTTTGCACTCTTCTGCATTTTAAAAATGTTCCACTAATGTTAAGTGGAACAATTGAATCATTTAACAAAATTGTGTGAAAGGTGAAAATTACCTTCTAGTTCCATCTCATTTGTTGGTGTGTGTATCATTTTACGACGGACACACACACGTTTGTTTGGGATCTTGTGATGCTTGGGGAACTTTGGGTCTTGGGAAACTTTATCACACTGAGACCACCACATTCTTTGAAGTGACTACATTGCATTCTAGTGGCTGAATATCATTTTAAATTTTTGGTGGGTCTTTAGATAGTCTCTCTTAAAATGGACATGACTGTAACATACCCTTTTAGAATTGTGTGGCTATGTCTTTAATGTAAATTCTTAGAGCTGGAATAAATAGATATGTGCGTTATATTTTAAATTTGGTATTTTTTTCTCATTTTGTCCTTGTCAAAATTGGTTTTAATTTAAGAAGTTTCCATAAATAACCAAAGCATCGTGAACTCCAACAGGGTTTCTCATCAAAAGCATTATTCTCCATGCCAACCCCAAGAGACCAGTTCATCTTTGCTAATGTTAATAATTTCTTCCGATGATTGTCTCCATAATTGTAAAAATCAAACAAAAACCTAAGACACTTATGATGTTTTTTCACTTACCAGTTTTAGATTTTTCTACCATAGCTGATATAGTTAGCAGATAAGGATTTATGGTTGTAACCCTATTTTTAAATCAATAGGCATATTTCATCATATCCATGTAAGTATTGTCGGCTGCCCAATCAAGTACTCTATTAAAGCCATGCTTTTAACATGGGTTTTCCCAGAACTGTCCAATCTGATCCTGTTTTTCTAGCACACAGAACTGGGTCCATAGTGATTCTTCGTTCGGGACACAGCTCAAGTATTGATCCGTGAAGGGCTCCCACCCATAGAGTGATCGGATCTACTCGTGGGTAGAGGGAGATGAAGGGCTCCACATACTTTTCTCTCCCACACGGTCCATCACCTGTAGTCTTCTCTCAAGTTCCTCTGCAGTCCAGAGAGCCAATTACATTTTAGAATGAATTAAGTAAATTTTGTCTAATGGAATAAAGTCTTGAGAAGTTTATACATTGGAGTTTTTTCAGCTCTCGCACATTCATGTCTGTGTTCTAATCTTAGCTTCAAAGGAATATGAGACAATGCATGGAGGACTAACACGGTTCTTAAAAGCAGAGAAGCATGTATCCCAGAGATCCTCTGAGACCTAGTGACCCAGTTGGGTTGTGGGGTGGGTACACCCCACAGGGCGGGAGCAAGCCCAGCGTCACCTCGCCCGTGATTCATACCAAGGGGTGTGGAATAACCACGGCTGAGACGATAAGGCTACTTTATATAACCTGCTGTCGTTTATGATAAATGAGGAAACTGCCCGGATCAGTTCATTAGTGGTGGGAGTGGAATGCAAGCTAGGGTTTGCGCCACCTCCAAAGCTCTGGTTCTTGCAGCGGTAGCCTGTCTGTCGCCTCCGCGGCTCACCTGCTCTGTTGTTTGTTTTTTCTCTTAGTGGATGAGTGTTCGTCTGACTACACAGTTGTGCTTCCTGTCATTGGGGCCATCGTGGTCGGCCTCTGCCTTGTGGGGATGGGTGTGCATAAAATCCGCCTAAAGTGTCAATCATCCAGATATCAGAGAATCTAACTGGTGCCGGGCAGACGAAAACAATGACGTTGAGAGGATTCCTTCACCGTCTCTGGAAGGTTGGGCGCTTCCTGGGGAGTCCTCCCGAACAATGGGAACCCCAATCTTTCACTAAAACCAAGTGAGCCTTTTGTTGCTTAAGCTCACATGGTACATCAACTTCTATTTTTTTCTCTTGTTTTGTGAAAGATTGAACCAGATCTTTAAGAGTATTTTTGAAAAAAAATTCTTTTTTTGGATTTCCTTCGGAATATTTTAATCCCTGAAAATCCACATGAGATATGTTGAATTAACTGAATATATATGAAGTAGTGTATGCTTCCAAATAATATACCGAAGTGTCAGCTTTCCTTAATGTTACCTGTCGTTTGCATTGAGAATTTTCCCTTTAACATTTTCCACTTTAAACATGTCTCGTCTTTGTCAAATGGCCTGCCAGTGCTTTTGCCGTGTTAAACATATGATTGGCGTGATGCTTAGGTTCTCCAGCTCCTGACAAGTTTTTGTTTTTTGCTTTACAAAAAAATTGTCGAAAAGAACAGCATAACAAATTGTCTAGGATTTTAAACAGAAACTAAGAGAGGACCTCAATAGCTTATATTTTTTGTTTTAATGATTTCTGTTCCAGAATCACTAGACTTGTAAGAATTCAGTGGCTACAGGTATCAGAATCGAGTGGAAAGCAAGTCACAGTCATCGTGGCCCTTATTAGTGAACACACATGTACAAGACACTAGTTAAGCCCTCTTATGGGAACCAGGGAAGGCTCTGTACAGCTTTGCTAATCTGTGGCAAGGAAGGCAGCAACATTCTCAAAATCTTGAATTTCTGCAAAAGTGGAAATGTCCCCATTAATAACGTTCCTTCTTAAAAAGGGCTCCCCCTCGTGGTCACGTGCTGCTGCTGCATGCTTACATCCCCAAGTTCTGATGTTGGCTTTAAGTGTACAGCGAAGCATGACAAGAATTTTGTTCCTGCTGGATTTTGGTGCTTAAGAAAGGAGCTAAGCTGAGATTTGTAGCAGGAAAGACCACAGAACACTAGACTTCTTTAGCAACGGGATCATTCATGTCAACCTAGAGAACATACTGAATTTCCTGATTGGCTCCCCCTATGAAGCAACGGGGTTGGTGAGGGCCTGTCATTCATTTGAACACAATATTGGATTGTATAGTTTTTGCAATAAAAATTTACTTTGACGATTTATTCATGTCATTTCTTTCTTACAATGTGATTTGAATCCTATATAAAGTTTTGTTTATGCTCTTCTCAGTGGCAAGCCTGTCATATGGAGGTTGTAAGTCATTTTTCTTTTTTTTTTTTCTAGGTTAGTTCTTTTTTTTTATTGTTATTAACATTGTATTATGTGATACAGTTTTATAGGCACTGGGGATTCCTCCCACCCCTCCCATACCCCTCTCCCCATAGTGGATTCCTCCCCCTTGCTGCATAACCACAGTTCAAGTTCAGTTGAGATTCCTTCATTGCAAGCATATACCTAGCATAAAGTCCAGCGTCTTATTGTCCAGATAAGTTCAGTGGCCTCTTGGGGAGACCTTCTCTGGTCTGAAGGTAGAGCTAACAGAGTAAAGTTCCGGTCAGTTAAAAGCCAGTCATTTTTCTATGGATAACTTACTTTATTTTCTTTTCCATCACCACATCGTACTAGGTAGGAAGACTCTGTGCGGGAGAAACAAAATTTCTGAGAAGACGAATCTCATTGAAGTTATAAACTACAATCTCCCAACTCTTAGTCCAGACT